CTTCTGCCCCTTCACGCTGGAGACTGTTGCAAAAAGGTTAGAGCGAAGGTCTTTCCAGCTGCCCATTTTGGAAGCTGGGTATTTTGAAGTTAGATGTGCCCCCGATACAGTTCTCGTAAAGAAAACCTCCCTTAGCTATTTGCCCGCCAGGAATTGTACCCTATCAGCAGATTTTTCCCGCCAGCCGCCCCAATGTTTGGATTATGGTTTGGATTTTTAGGGGGCATAAAAAAAAAGCTGAGCTTGCTGGAATCCAGTGTACAATTTCTGAAGTGCACTAAGTGCTTCCTGCTTTGAAATCTGTACGTCTGCCTTTCTCCATTTGCAGGTAGAAAGTCTTTCCCAACACTGTAATTATCCTAAGGGAAAGAAACCTCCTGTTTTTATAGTACCCGTGTAAGCAAAGATCTGGTGGCTGCCTTCACACATGCTGAAACCACTTTGTTGTTGTCTTCCTGGCTTTGCACAGAGTTGATTAATGCATCCTTCAACTATTTTGCAAATTCAAAATTTGTACAAAGCTGGAGATTTTGGCTTGCAAACTTGTGCCGTGGCATTATGCACCCATGGCCCAATAGGGCTTATTCCAGGGGTGTCCAGCCTTGGTAACGTCTTCTGCCACATACCTCCCTCAGACCAATAAGATCGCACAGGATGGGCCTTCTCCGGGTGCCGTCAGCGGGACAATGCCGGCTGCGACATCTAGGAGTAGGGCCTTCTCTGTTGCCGCTCCGGCCCTGTGGAATGAGCTGCCCCCTGAGATCCGGGCCCTACCCGCTCTCATGGCCTTTCACAAAGCCATTAAAACCTGGCTTTTCCGGCAGGCCTGGGGCTGTTGACCCCTTGACTGAGGTCCAGCCCCCCTCTGATTGGGTGTATGTTGTGTTCCCCTTTTTAACTTTGTTGTGTCCCATTGTTTTTAATAATTCTTTTTAATCTTTTTTCATTTCTGTAAGCCGCCTGGAATCCTCCGGCATTGGGCGGCATAGAAATTTAATAAATGAAATGAAATAAATGAAATGAAACTTTAAAGACCTGTGGAGTTCAACTCCCGGAATTTCCCGTAGCACACAGCCTTTTCTCAACTCGGGACAGTATTCCCTGTTCACCCATACGGAGCCTCCTAAATAATCCCGATTTTCATTTTGGATTGGTAAAGAGTCAGAAATGGACATTCCCTGGGAGAACACCCTGCCGAGATCCACGTTAAAACAAGCAAACCAAGAAATACTCAACTCAGAACAGAAAGCTGGAAATTCAGAAAACTTTGTTCCAATAAAAACCAGAACATTTAAAATGGGAATAGCCATGGTTTATAATGAACAATAACAAATCCAGAAGGGGAGAGAAACACAGTAAAAAAAAAGGACAGGCTGGACTGCATTACACATCTTTTTACAAGGCAGAATTGACACTTTTTTTTTACTACAGAACTCATAAAAGAAGCAGCACAAATCTTGGATCGACTCTATACGAACAAATGCAAAATATTAGATAATGGAGCTGCGCTTTCTATACCGATAGTCACTCGTTTAAAATAGAGCACAATAATTAAATTAGTAAAAATATTTATTTTCCAAATGTAACAAAAAGCTTTTAAAATTATGTTTCTTTTTCCTTAGCTTAAAGACTTTGTTATTTCTTTTTATTTTGTTAAAAAAAAAAACTGTATTAAAAGAAAATATAAATTGCTAAGGAGTCAGATTTCACTCAGTAGTTATAAAGATAACAACCCTGTTGCCTGTGCAAATGTAGTCTGGTTAATCTGCTTCCAAGGGATTAAAAAGAAGACGGATTAAGGACAGAGGGGCAATCTAAGAAAAGCGAATTCCGCATGAACCTTTCAAGCAAATTGCTTAGAAAACCCGGGCCTGGAAGGCCACGAATCCTGGGGTTTTGCATTCTTCTGAAAAGCACCATTTTTTTGGGAGCATGATTGGTCATTTGGCCGAGCACGTAACTCTTTTGAGTCCGAATAGGCTACAAGGCTTGTAGTCTTTCTGCATTCATCACAGAAAATCCCCAAATATTCCACTTCTGAAATGAGCCTCATCCACTCATAAGACAAATGGTAAGAGGGACCATAACAGGTTTCCTAGATGGCCATTCCACTCTGGTTCAGGAGTGTCCAAGCTTGGCGCCTTTTAAGACTTGTGGACTTCAACTCCCAGAATTCCCCAGCCAGCCATTGCGCACAGGTGTCATGGCTCCCAAGCATGGGACAGCCCTCCTCTGCTCTGGGTGAAGAAACGCCACACCTTTGTTTAGGAAGCAGCTGGAGAAAGTCTTCTCCTCAGTCATGGGGGGGCCTTGTGGTTTCAGAAGACCAGAGATGGACTTTTTGGCCCAGCGCTCATGAACCTGTCCAGCCTTCCGCTGAATTGCACCGAGAGCCTTTTATATCGAGGCGCGCTTCGCATCAAGCACAAAGTTGACAAAAGAGACGCACAGCTGGACTAGGTGGCTGAAAGAAAAAGGGCGGTGAAAGACACCTGGGCAAAACGCAACAAAACAATCTAACATTGTTAGATTGGCAGGCTGGTTCCTTTTGCCAACTTGCAGCCTGCGAGGTTTGACTTTTCGGCTCCAACAGTAACGGTGAGCACAACTGAAACCCCTCTGCAGAAGTCCCAAAAAACCATAAGGCACAACTAAGAACAAAAGGAACGGGGTGGGGTGGGGACACACACACACACACACACAAAAGCGATTCTACAAAGCTCCACAAAACTTGAGTGTGCTTAATAAATACCTAGAGAATGCCAAGCATTCTTGAGTGGTAAGCAAGGGACATGAGTTGGGGGTGAAGCAGAGTGAAGCATATCCCCGGGGAAAGAGATCTTTGCAGATCTCCCCTGGGGGGGTCAAAACTCCACACTTCTGCCCTCCTTTAGGGAAAAAAAACCAAAACACCTCGCATGCTAAATTGGTGGGTGGGATAATGTTCAAAGCCAGCGGGTTCCCACGGCAGGTGCACAATTTGGATGAGAAACTGCTACATGGCTCATTGTAAAAAAAGTGTGAATTGGGTGGGCGGGGGATAATGGGTGTTGTAATGCAGCACATCTGGAGGACAGGAGATCTGGGTGCCACACTGTCCCCGGGGCAAAAGAGCACTTCACAGTAGGGGGAACCAAGCCTCTCGCCAGATGTGCTGAAGAAGGATGGGAGTGTCCCTCTTTGCAAAATATGACCACTACGATGACTTCAGCGTTTCTGAACCGCCAAACTGTTTGGAAATTGTAAAATGTTAACGGCAGCCCATTTCCTTAATATTAGAAAATAAAAAGGCAGAAAAGTCATTTTGCAATAGGCAATAGATGGGAAGTGTATTCAGAACGGGGACTCTAGAAGCCGCGGGCGAAAGGGTTAAAATTTCCCCCACTATGATGTCCGCCATTGCGGCACCTGAGGGGGTCTTCCA